TATTCAGCCCTAGCCCAAACAATAGGCCTAATCAAGACCCAACGATAGGGAATTTAGAAATCAATGGTCACCATAGGGGCGTGACTAACCATCCCCACCCAGTCCTCAAATAGGCCACGCTCAGCTTTTTAGCGCAGAGCAATTTCCCGGAGTATTCACTGAGACTTCAGAGTTGTCTACCGCTGACGAAGTTTCTGTGAGAGAAGCGAAACGTCCTTTTTTGTTTTTTTTTTTGTTTGTTTTTTGTTTTTTACCCACAGGTACAGATGACGACTGACGGAACCCTTTCTACGTTTTCCAGTGCTGTAAAAATGTGTAGAATAAATATTACATTTCAATATTTCTGTCAATGAGGCTTTGCATCATAGCCTGCGACACCCGTTTCTATGAGCAGGGCCGGATGCCAGGCAGGTGGCTGTTGTAAAAAAACAGCGTTTCATGTACAATTCACCGAGGGTTGCCGACCCCTGCACTCGATGATGCTACGGTACAGGAAGTACAATACAATACAGTACAGCTTTATTGATATAGAGCCTTCACAACCGCTGCAGCTGTAACAATGAGAACCGGTCACAAACACGGACATGAAACATATATAATACAAATGGTATTACAAAACAATAAATGAAAGACAAAAGTTATGAAGACAATTGATTCAACAAAAAGGCTCACAAACCTTGTGGGCTCGCATCCACAAGGGGTTAAATATCCTGAGAAGTCTTGCCTGTCTCCTTCTTCCTTCGTTTCGTCAGTAGTTAACTATGCTTTTGGTATTATCTTCGTTTTATAATGGCTGCGCAGAGCTCACAAAGTAGCTGTCTATTTGAGTGTGTGTTGGCAAAGGCACATATCAATTAGTGTCGGGCAGAATCCTTTTAGGTTACAATGGATTCCTGCTAATAATCACCACTTATCATTTATTTCAGACAACTGGCCGACTCAAGATTGGTACATACACTGGTCCCCTCCAACATGGGATTGTTTACTCTGGAGGTAACGCATAAGCTATAATTTCAGAAAGAAATTGAAATATTCACGCAATCTCCTCAGACTATAGTTGTTCATCCAAGGTCCTGTCAACCACTGCCATCAAATGTTATGTGGTAGAACACCGGTCACGGTCGTATTTGGATCAGGTTCAAGTTTGGTGTGCAATAGTATTTCGGATCTCAGGGTGGGCCACAAATTGTGTACCGTTGTTTGTTTTCTGCTGTCATAAACATGCAGTATATTTGGTTTTATTTACAACAGAGTCACCAAAGATGGCCTTGGCCACCCCTGGCCACCCTGTAGCTCCGGCCCTGAGTACTGGGTTTGTGAAATGTTTTTTTTTCCCCCCCATTAACTTGGCCCCGAACTTCCCCCACCCACCATGAACATTTTGGAACCATCTCATCTGTTTTACGAACCTTCTGCATTTTCTCAGACATCGTCATGATTTTTTTTTTTTTGTAATCCTGTTGAATTATAATGGAAAAGCATATTTGTCATATTTTTCATCGGTTCAGTTTAATTACATTTTTATTAACTTGGTCAAATTCAGATTATTTCTGAGACTACTGTGGGTTTTTCTTTCATGAAAAAGAAGGTTGCAACAATTTTGTCTGCTGTCTGATGTTTGCACCCACAGGTTCCTCTGACATCGTATGTGACTTGTTGGGTGCGAAAGGCAAAGATATTGTCTACATTGGTGACCACATCTTTGGTGACATTCTGAAATCCAAGAAGCGCCAAGGCTGGAGAACTTTCCTGGTCATACCAGAGCTGGCCCAGGAGCTGCATGTATGGACTGAAAAGAGCTGTAAGAATACATAGACACACTACAGATCTGAACAGAAAGATTATGTGGGAAAGGAGTTATTTTGTGGTTTGCGGCATGGGTCTAGTCTCTTTTTTCCCCTCCTTTACATAAAGTCACTCTAACGTGTTTTGTGGCTGTTGGTGTTCGATCTCAATTGCCAGTAGAGAGAGCACACATTATTTTGGGGAATGACCTAGGAGGGGGGACGGTGTGGGCTGATAGGAAACCAAATAATTTTGAGAAGCAGCCTTTCGCACCCCGAGGGATTTTTCTCCACATTGCAATGATGTGTTGCTTGAGATTCTTCCTGTTTGTGGTGATGTGGCTGGTCACCTACATGTTCTTAAACTGTATAATTGTATACTTGCATCCACATCCAAGGCGAGATGTAGCTTCATTTAATAAAATAAATGCCATACTTGTCAGCTCACCAGTAAGCCAAATCAGGTTGTTTCCAGAGATGGGCACTTCACTCTATTTTGCCAGTCTGTCCTCCATTCGCGAACTGGGCACCCTTCCGTCATCGTCCCTCCGTACTTATTCATAAAATAATCATCTTCCGTCCCCGTCTGTCTTCTTAAAGCAGTTACGTCCTTAGATTTCACCATTCCGTTGCTCCCGCCCCAAAAAAGAAGAAAAAAAAACGGCCCTGCATGTCGCCGTGGAAGAGAGGCTAACAGCCGAGGTTCCATAATTCCTAAACATTTATTTTATGCCCGTCAGCTGGCTAATTTCCTATTCACTTCCATTCACCCAAAGGGTAGTCACTTCTGGATTAACAGTTTGACAAACCGTTTGCCACCGAGGTCCGGTACACACAACAGCATTACAAGATTTCATTCTGCTCCGAGTGCAAATATTTAAATTTTGTACACGCTTTTCTAGGCCCACTCAAATCCATATTCGAGTCACCACTATTTTAAGACAGGTAGAAAAAAAGTGTAGAAAAGGCTAGCACACAATTTATCATGAAACATTGTGAACTACCGTATTGGCCCGAATATAAGAAGGTGTTTTATGCATTGAAATAAGACTGAAAAAGTGGGGGTCGTCTTATATTCGGGGTCAAGACATTATACCCATTCACGACACTAGATGGCGCTAGATATCATTGAAGCGAATGCTGAACTTGACTCCCGAAGCCAAAGTGAACCCCTGCCATGAAGAATAAAAATAAAAATAGCGGTAGCACGAAGAAGAAGAATAAAAAATAGCGGTAAGAAAGAAAAGAGAAGAAAATAATAGAAGAGATAACAGAAAATGGAGAAACGTAGCGACAATCTGGAGAAAAGTGGGTCAAAGATCGGTTAACTGGCAGCTGAGGAGAAGTTATGATGTAATTTACATTTCAAAAATCAGAAGCCATTCATTTACGAATGTGATTGCACTTTATTTTACATATTTAAATGTTCAGATATTAAGATTTGAATGAGGCAAAATAACATGCTTTTTCTCTCAAATATATTGTTAGAATCATTTGTTTCAGATGTACTGTAATTATTTTCTGTATAAAAATTAATTTGTTGTTCAAAAAGTCTTTTTTCAAACTTGAGTCTTGAAAAAGAGGGGGTCGTCTTATAATCAGGGCCTTCTTATATTCAGGCCAATACGGTAATTTACACCCAAAAACTACCGTATAAATTATGTAAAGCTTGAACGACTTTACACACAATTTACTTTTTTTTTTTTTTTCATGTTCGACCCCCTGCTGCACACATGTATACAAGAGGTCAAGCAGTGGCGGGCCGTGCATGTCAACCTTAGGCCTACAGTGACGTCACATACATGAACACAATACTGTATAGGCTCGTCAAGCAGCACTTAATTTCAGGAGCATTTAAAACCATCAAGTATGCATTCACAATTAAGAGCAGGGAACTACATTTACAGATAGTCAAAAATAAAAAGATGATTTAAAAATATGAAATAAAATGCTACCCAAATTACGCTGTGTGATCTTAAACAAGTCTGTCCAATAAATTGCGCAATGTCGCAGTTTCATATAAGACACCAACCGAACAATAACAAAACAAACTATTCTTTGAAAATAAAGTAAACAGATCATTTGCATTTTGAAAATCGGCAATACAACAGCAAATAACTGACATAACTGACTAACTAATAACTGACTAACAGCTGAGATTGAACGAACTTTCGTGCATGAAGGTGACCACAATGCGCCATTATAAATTGCAGGTGAGCAGATTTATTTGATACATGTTTGTATCTTTGTCATTTTATTTCGTTACCATGAATTTAATACTAACGAAATAAAATGACAAGAAGAAATGTAAAATAAAATTCACTGACTCACCAATGTAGTTCTCACAGCGTCTGCTTATTTGAAAATAAAGTCAATCCTCCTTTCTCTAGCTGCAGATCTACGCGAGTGTCCCCAAACATTTTTAAACGCACCGGTCAGTTGCAAGCAATAGGCATTCCCAGCAGTACAATTTGCTGCGTTTGTCAGAGGCTGTGAGCCACGGGTACCGTTCATAATTGCTCGTC